GGTTTTTCGAGATAGGGTTTCTCGGGTTTCTCTGTGGTTTTGGAGCCTGTCCTGGAACTAGCACTTGTAGACCAGGCTGGTCTCGAACTCACAGAGATCCGCCTGCCTCTGCCTCCCGAGTGCTGGGATTAAAGGCGTGCGCCACCACCGCCCTGCTTTCTTCTTCTTTTTTTAAGACAGGGTTTCTCTGTGTAACAGTCCTGTTGATCAGGTTGGTCTTGAACTCACAGAGATCTGCCGGTCTCTGCCTCCTGAGTGCTAGGATCATGGTGTGCCACCATGCCTGAGCTGGATTCCTTTTTTCCTATTCATGGCTTCTGTGCTGCTGTGAGGACCAGCTATCAGCAGCTCAGGGATTGAAGGGGAGCCACAGAGTCAGCAGACTGATCATTCAATCGACTTTTCTTTGGGAGTAAAAATTAGTTCTCTGGGGCCAGTGAGCAGAAGAAAACTTAATTGTTCTCTGGGGTCAGTGAAAAAGGGAAACACACATCTCCAACATGTCAGGATCTCACCCGGGGTGTTGATGAATGGCAAACCTTCAGGTCAGAGAAACTGAAGAGGAGATGCAGGGCAGGTGAACTACTGGATAGACAGACACACCAGGACTTTTCTGAGGACCAAAGCTTAGTTCTTCATTTTATTATGCTTTTTGTTGGTTGTTCTTCTTTTTCTGTTCTGTTCTTCTATCCGGATGTTTCTCTTTGTTTTTTCCGGATGTGTCTCTTTGTTTTTCGCCTTGCAGCTTATATACCCGAGAAAAATCTTTCAAGCAATATAAAAATTACAGTGTGACTGCCTTCCATTTTGAACTGAATGATCACAATGACTACAGGTAGAAAGCACCATGTTTCCCATTTCCTTACATGATTAAGCATTTTATGTATTACAGGTGAAAAACAAATTATCCCCAAGAACCCACTTACAGTTAAACATTTATCTTTTAGATGTCTCATAGACCAGGAGCCTCTCAGCCATAACTGTTTACATATGCAGGAGTTTTTATAATTGCTAGAAAAACAGGTTATTAGCTTCACTTTTCATATTTCAGAATCCAATCCAATTACCTTAACTAACCATCCAATTCTTTGTTTCCTAGTTACATGCAGTCATTATTTAAAGCTTTGTTTACCTATGATGCACACCAAAACCCGCAAACATATTTCCTAGTATCAAAAAGAACTTGACTTAACTCCTGGGACTTGTTTTCCTTAATCACTAACCTAAACCATAGTCTGTAAGGCTCCTCAAGAGAAATGTGTAAGTCCTAGCTAGGTGACACTTCCTTGTTCCTATTCTCTATCTGCTGCAGACCCTGCTTTATCAGGGGCAGGGGCAACACTATATCCTACCTTTTCCTATATTAATTTTTCCACTAAACTAACCTCTACCATGATTCCTTACTACATTTGTTAGAAATCCTTAATCATCAAAATTCTATTTAAACTAACACAATTATTACATAAAATCACTACTTCAGTTAAATAGTACAGCTTAAGAAGAAATCATCTTCTTCATAATCTACAGGTAAAAATGCCCAGTAGAATGGGATATTTCCATGAGATAATTACACTACATCAAGGGCAGTGAGGATCTCTCCACACCCATTTACACCATGCCAGATATCAGAGAAAAATAACAGAAGCAAACATGGAAAGGCACAGGAGCAGCAAGAGGCATTCTGGAGCTGAAGCCCTGGGGCCTTCCTTGCCTATCCGAAATTCACCTTTTAGTGCCTTGCTGCCTGGTGGGACAACTCCTGAAGCTCAACTACCATCTGCTGGTCTTCTGACATGGCCACTGGCACTTCCCCTTGACCATTTCTCTCAGATCTGTTTATCGTCCTGTTATTGAAACACACCTTAAAAAGGAGATTGAAAGGGCTGGAGAGATGTTTCAGAGGTTAAGAGCACTGGCGGCTCTTCCAAAGATTGTGAGTTCAATTCCCAGTAACCACATGGTGGCTCACAACCATCCAAAATGAGATCTGGTGTCCTCTTCTGGCCTGCAAGTATACAGATTGCTGTATACAGCATAAATAAATCTTGAGAGAGCTTGAGAGAGAGAGAGAGAGAGAGAGAGAGAGAGAGAGAGAGAGACTGAATCACACAATACTAGGTGTTCCTGCTGATAAAGCTTTTCTTGTAGTCTTAGGAGCTTCACTCTAATCCAGTCAACTCGAGTCAGTGTGTATATATCATGTAATACAAACCTGGAACCCCACCCTCTCACACACAAATGCAGACAGATACACTTAATATTGCGGGTGGGGGGTAGAGATAGGTTTTCTCTGTGTAATAGCCCTGGTTATCCTGGAAATAACTTTGTAGACCAGGCAGGCCTCAAACTTATGGAGATTCACCTGCCTCTGCTAGTATTAAAGACATGTGCCACCTGGCTTAATACACATAATCTTAAACCTGTCAGTACATGGGAAAAGGCTAGCTAGTGGACATGACAGTTAATAATAACAGGAAAAACAGAATTCTAGGGAGAAATCTGTGAGCAAATCTGTAAATGCAGAAAACAATAAGGTGTGTTGAACAGAGAATGGGGAGACACATTTAATTCACCTAGATCATTTAAGTAGGAGATAAGAGTAAAAAGTAGTATTAAAATGAACAAAGTCAGTTTAAGGTTTAACTATGAAAACTAGGGAGCTAACCTGCTTATTAGAGAGAAAAGTAGGTTTAGCATTTTAGAAAGACTTTTCTGATAGTTTCAGGCATGACAATATGGGTCCAGCAGAAAGGAGCCACCTAGGAGGTTACCAACATAAAATGGAAAGGGGAGGAAGGATGGACTAAGGACTAGTTTGTAAGTTACTTTTGTATTGTTGTGAACAAAAAAAAAAATTTGAAACAGTAGAAGGAAAATTTTATTTGGATTGTTTTTTTTTTTTTTCAGAGAGATTTTAGCCCATCAGGATGCAGAGGGAATGGGAGAGGAGCAGCTCTGTGGAAGCTGAAATATGTGATGGCAGCTTTTCAAATTTTGGCAGACCAAGAAATAGAAAGCTAGACCGGAAGCAGAGACCTGCTCTTAGTAACCAATCCATGAGATAGACACCATGGATTTTTGTTTTGTTTTTCATTTGTTTTTGTTTTTTTGAGACAGGGTTTCTCTGTGTAGCTTTGGTGACTATTCTGGAATTTGTGCTATAGACCAGGCTGGCCTCGAACTCAGAGATTTGCCTGCCTCTGCCTCCCAAGTGCTAGGACTAAAGATGTGCACCCCACCACCGCCAGACTTAGACACCTTGTTTTCCTCCATGGCCTTCACAAAATCACAGGCTCGGGAACAAATGTTCAAAGAGGAGCCCATAGAGGGCACTTCACACCCAAATAAATTATAGCATTTTGTCTCTGGTCCATGAAAAGCTCATTGTATGTATGACCATGTGTGTATTACATATGTCTGAGCGTGAGTCTCAGCTTTTATTGCTCACTCTGGCAAGGAGGGGCCTCGTGATTAGCTTTAGGGACTTTATGAAGCCATTTTGAATTGTTTACTTTCCTACTTAAGGAGTGTCCCTGCTGGGTGGAATATTACAATCTCAGAAGAAACTGTTACACAGCCCCTCAAAGATACACTGAACTGTGCTTCATAAATCTTGTAACAATACAGTCACCACAGATTGATGTAGTTATAGCAGGAGGTACCTGGCATCTGATTTTCTACTGTTGTTGTTGTTGTTATTATTACTATTTTTTTTTTGGTTTTTTCGAGACAGGGTTTCTCTGTGGCTTTGGAGCCTGTCCTGGAACTAGCTCTGTAGACCAGGCTGGTCTCGAACTCACAGAGATCCGCCTGCCTCTGCCTCCCGAGTGCTGGGATTAAAGGCGTGCGCCACCACTGCCCGGCATTACTATTTTTTTTTAAAAGATAGGGCTTCCCTGTTGTAGCCCTGGCTACCCTGGAGCTCCTTGGAACCAGGCTGGCCTCAAGAGATCTGCCTGCCTCTACCTCCTGAGGGCTGGGATTAAAGGTGTATACTGCCATACCTGACTTGTTATTTTAATAACTATACGTAATTTCTTTCTTTCTTTCTTCCTTCCTTCCTTCCTTCCCTCCCTCCCTCTCTCTCTTTCTTTCTTTCTTTGGTTTTTCGAGATAGTGTTTCTCCGTAGCTTTGGAGCCTATCCTGGAACTAGCTCTTGTAGACCAGGCTGGCCTCGAACTCAAGAGATTCACCTGACTCTGCCACCCTGAGTGCTGGGTGCACCACCACCACCTCCAGGCTTGGAGTGCTGGACTTTAAAGGCGTGTGCCACTGCTGCCAAGCTGGGCTACCGATACTTCTAAACTGTGACTTCTTTCTCAGAAATTGTCTCAAAAAAAAAAAATTGTCTCAATACTTCTCTTTCATTTCTATTACTTAGATCCTCTTAAAGCCTTCATATGTGCTGTTTGGAAGACAACTGCGCCTATTTTAGAGTCTCCTTACCTAACTTCACCAGAAAGGCCTCTGCGCTAGCCTTTCTCTTTAAAAATGTGTCTCATTACTATATAACCTTGTTTCTTTCACAAAGTTTATCACAATTTTATTCTCTCTCTCTCTCTTGATTTTTCAAAAACAAAGTCTGTGTAACAGCCCTAGCTGTCCTAGAACCAACTCTGTAGACCAGATTAGCATCAAATGCACAGAGATCTGCCAGCTTCTGCCTGCCTTCCAGTGCTGGGATTAAAGGCGTGCGCCACCACCACCCCATTCATCAAAACTTTCAAGTTCTTTACTCAAGCCTTGGCGGCCTCTAAGATAAAGTCAGTATTCCTTCAAGGTAGAGAGCTTATCCTAAAGATAGTCTTAATCCCTGTGCCTAGAGCAAGATTTAAGGAGGAACAGAAGACACTACTAAATGAATAAATGAAAAGCACGTTACGTAACAGCCTCAGATTCTGTCTCACGTTAATCGTCCTAGGCCTACCAAACGTTTCAGGAGGGAGATCTGCACCCCTGGGTGTAGGAAGCACAGCAGCAAAGTCCGCAAATCACGTGCCTTGCGGCCCCAGGAAGAAGGGAGGTTCTCTGGACCGTCAGGCAGCGCGGGGCGGGACGACGTGCCGAGGCCACGCCCCCTGACGCCAAGAGGCCACGCCCCGGACGTCCTGCTTTGCCCGTCCTCCTCAGCGCTGTGACGTTTCGCGCGAGGCACGGAGCGTAAACAGCGCAAGGCATTTCGGGAGCGGGATTGTTTCAGTCAGGAAGCAGGCTCCATTTTAGCGCCGCCCGCCGTCGCCATCTGTTCCTCTCCCCTCCCCCTCGTCGCCGTGGTGGCCGAGTCCCAACTGGAAGGCTGAAGGCCAGGCCACCCGAGGCCAGCGCGGAAGGCGGGAAGGAGGAGAAGAAGAGGCCGGGAGACCGGGAGCGCGTAAGGAGCTGAGTGGCGCAGGTCAGGCCGGAGCGCGCGGCCCGCCGGACGGACGGACTGACGGACGGACTCGTGCGCCTGCGGCTGCGGCGCCCGCGCGACTCGCGTCCCGGCGGTGGCGGCGGCGGAAGCCGGAGGGCAGCCATGGCGGCCGACAGCCGGGAGGAGAAAGGTGAGCGCGGAGGATGGGGACCCCGGGCGGCCGGCGAGGGCACCGGGGAGCCGCGGCGTGCGGGCGGGCGAGCGTGCGGGCGGGGCTGGAGGTGCGGGCCTGGCGTCGAGCGGGCTGTCGAGAGGCCTGGCCGGGCCTGGCGTCCTCCCTCGTGGGGCCTCACACCTCGGCCCGGATCTCACTTCAGACTCGGCTTGTAGCCGTCCCGGGAGCGGTTGGGAGCGGGCCTGCCCCCACGCTCGCTTCCTAGGAGGATTATGCGGATGTCATGCGTCTTTTCTGAACTATCTTTCCTATCGACTTATTCGAAAATTATGTCATAGGTAGCGTTGGTGGACTAATGGTTAGGCCAGTTTAAATGATACGGGTGGATTATGGGTTTCGAGAAATACCTGAAAGTAACTTCTGTTTTCCTAGATAAACAAAGAACCGTGTTGTATTCCTTGAGCGCTTACTTTAGAAAGGAAGATGCTAGAAGAAAATAACATGCCCCCCCTAACCCCGCCCCAAATCCTGTCAGCTCATCACCCAGAAATACGGTGCACATACCCTTTAAAAAGGTACAGCCAGGAATACATAGGTGCAGATTCCTTGGAGAGATAAATTGGAAGAGCTAGTGCTGATAAAATGCCATTTCTTCTGAAATTCTGACTTTCCAGAGACCACAGACGCTGCTGTAGGCTCCAGATTAGGACGTTCGCTGGAGAGTGGTCTGGATTGGATGCTGGCCTGAGCTATTTCTCAGCTCTTGAGCTACCATGCCAGTCTTGGAATAGTTAGTATGATGAAAATAAAATAAAGCACAATTGCTGCTGTATACTCCTCAAGCCTCTGTGTGGCTCATTAATTTGAGATGGAGATTTGTTCACTTAGATGAAGCTTTTTGGGTTTTTCTGTCAGCGTCAGTAGGTATGCTTCAGTGAATTGCCTCGGCATAAAGACAAGCTTTGGAAGTGGTATGAGTGAGAGGATCTGTGAGATAATGCCTTTGTCATATGCTTTTTTTTTTTTTTTTTTTTGAGACAGGGTTTCTCCTTAGCACCAGACTGTTACGGAACTTGCTTTGTAGATCAGGCTGGCCTTGAACTCAGATCTGCCTGCCTCTACACCCTGAGTGCTGGGATTAAAGATGTCTGGCAGCTCTTCCTCCTTAAGCAATTCTTCTACTAGTTGCAGTTTTATTTTTCTATCCTTAAACTAGCACCCCAGAATTGCCCCTGCGACATCCTCAAGGAATGTGAATAAAGAATTCTGTTAGCAAATAAAGGAATTACTTTTTTTAATTATAGTGAAGTCAGTTTAGAAAAGATCTTAACGTCATCTTATCAACAATTATCAACAGTTAAAGATTCATTCAAACTTTGGTTGTCACGATGAAATTTCTGACTTAAAAGTATGGGGTTCCAGTAGCTCTCAAGTTAGGCAAAGTGAACCAAACACACCAGTGACAAAGATTCAGTGGTTGCCTCTTAAAGTGGACATACCTTAGAAAAATGAATAATGCAAAGTGAAGAAAAGTAATGATCATTTGGTTTTAGAAATGTACTTACTAGGGAAGGTGCAGTCCAAACACATAAAGTATTATTGAGAAGTAGTGGTATCACTTTTCATCAGTGCTTAGAATTATTGGAAATAGTTTACTTAAAACTTAAATTTTTAAACTATGCTTTCTCATTTACATTTTCTGGTTCAAGGGATTCTTTTTACAGTTAAAATCAAGATTATTTTTTCTATGCAAACAGCTAGTAGTCTACTGGAGTACTTAGTTTCATTTGGCCATTGTCAGACACTTAAGAATTATAGGCAAAATTAGAATCAGTAAGTAACACTTCAACAAGGAAAAGTGAGAATGTTAAATATTGTTATATATTTTACAGCACATTATAAAACTGTGCCCTCTAGTCTTGCCAAAACTTAAGTTTTTAGGGGGCTGGAGAGATGGCTCAGTGGTTAAGAGCATTGCCTGCTCTTCCAAAGGTCCTGAGTTCAATTCCCAGCAACCACATGGTGGCTCACAACCATCTGTAAAGACGTCTGGCGCCCTCATCTGGCCTTCAGGCATATAGACAGAATATTGTATACATAATAAATAAATATTTAAAAAAAAAACTTAAGTTTTTAATAAATCCCTACGTTTTGGAAAGTCTTGATCAAAAACAAGTCTCAGTTGGCAGAAAATTGCAACTCCTGTGTGTTAATCCCAGAATGAATTTTAAAGAGAGTCTTAGGAATTCTTAAATTGGGCTTTGTAATAAACACATTAATTCCATAATTCGTCATAAATCCTTGCTAACCTGGACAAATTACCAGGTTGACAATTTGTCCAAACAGTAAATTTGAAATAATCAGAGTTGACTGTTTTGTGGCGGTTTTTGTTTTGTTGTTAGTTTTGCTTTTTTGAGGATGCTGGGAAACAAAGTGCCCACTGTGTATCAGGCAAGTACTCTGCTACTCAGCCACATCCCTAGCTCTTCATTTTTCTGTAGGATGAAGAAATGCACATGTTTTTTGTTAAAGTAAAATTTTGCATGAATTTTATTTGAGCTCCCACAGTGTAAAGTTGAGAGCTGAGTTTTTAGTTATACACATACATACACACAACTAACTGTGTACGTAGATATACATCCACTTGTATACATGTTGTGGTCAGCAGTATTGTGAACTAGTTACCTGAGGAAAGGCTCCGTAAAACAGTTTGTGTTTGGTATACACCCCCTGTCCCATTCTGGGTCTTGTTTTGGTTTACCCGTAGCAGAAGTAAGTGGAAAATTAATATACTATCTTTAGGTGTCAATTGATGGTATGGAGGGTGGGAAATATTGAGGGGAGCTTTCTCCAAGTCTCTGGACATCATTAAAAGAATGATAGTTTGCAGGCTGGAAGGATGGCTCAGCAGCTAAGTATACTTGGTTGCTCTTAGGAATACTCTAGTTTGGTTCCGAGAACACACATATAAGCTTACAACTGTCCTTAGCTCCATTTCCAGATTCCAATGCCTGACCTCCACCAGGCCTCATGGTGCACATACATACATACATACATACATACATACATACATACAGGCAAAACACTGACACAATCAGAAGGGTGGGTTTTTGTTTTGTTTTGTGGTGTTGGCTTTTCTCTGTGTAGCTTTGGTGCCTGTCCTGGAACTAGCTGTTGTAGACCAGGCTTGTCTCAAACTCAAAGAGATCCGCCTGCCTCTGCCTTCCGGGTGCTGGTATTAAGGCATGTGCCACCACCAGCACCACCCAGTTTAGGATGGTAGTTTTTAATAACTGAAATAGCTGAGGGATTATCCTAATATAAGGAAATGTACTTTGCATGATAACAAAAGGTGAGATTTCCAGACATCCTGTTTTATCTCCCTGAAACTCTTAAGTGAACGGAAGAGAAAAGAGAGGTGAATTTCCTTGCCTGGGCTTGAAAACGTGCATTTAACATTTTCTTAATCTGATTATGAACCTTGAAATAAGTAGTATTATGTATTGTTTGACCTACAGTCTAATGTGGTCAAGTTGTGTGTCCCAGATGAGGATTGCTACATCAATCTCTCTTCAGTTAAGGTTTATGACCTTTTTATGTAAAGATTTTAGTTAAGGCGCTTAAATTCTTCGTATTTTATTTCAGAATTCTTTGTACAAAACATAGCCATCTAAGGCTAGTCTACCTTGAGAATCCTGTTCTTATTTATATCTAAAGCCCCACAACAAGCACAATTACTTGCCTTGTTGCATTTAATATCTCTCTGAGTTGATAACAAGGCTCTAAGAACAGTGATTCCTGTTTTGTTTTGCCTCCTATACATAGAAAGCTGTAGTTTTACCTCAAACTCAGCTTGTTAATAGTAACATAACATTCCATATATGAAAAGTAATGTAAATAGAAGACATTTGCAGATTGTCTTCCTTAAGAGGGGTAATTAAGTTGTTTTTAAATTTTTTTCCTTAAATTGAGGCAGCATTTAAAAGTAACACTGTCCTAAGTAAAATTTGGGTTTGCCAATATGAATGAAAATTTGCAGGATGTAATAACAATACTTGGATTTTGTTAACAGTCTACAGTGATTGCTTAGAATTGTTTTTGCCCCTGTTTTTTTTTTTTTTTTTTTTTTTTTTTTTTGATTTTTCGAGACAGGGTTTCTCTGTAGTTTTTGGTGCCTGTCCTGGAACTGGCTCTTGTAGACCAGGCTGGCCTCTAACTCACAGAGATCCGCCTGCCTCTGCCTCCCTAGTGCTGGGTGCGCCACCACCGCCCAGCTTTGCCTCTGTATTTTTATGTTAAATATTTGGCTCCTTTTTTTTCTTTTTTCGAGACAGGGTTTCTCCGTAGCTTTGGAGCTTCTCCTGGAACTAGTTTTAGTAGACCAGGCTGGCCATGAACTCAGAGAGATCCTCCTGTCTCTGCCTCCCGAGTGCTGGGATTAAAGGTGGTGTACCACCACCCCCCAATTATTCTGCCCTTTTAAAGACAAAGCATCCAGTAGCTTAGTTCTTCTGTTGACTCTTAATATACAGCCTTTGAGTAGATTTGAACCTTAGTTCTAAATAGAAATACTCTTGAAGGAAATCTGTGTTGTTGAACTAATTTTAGTTGCATTGTCCACATTTTGAAATAAAACATTTGTTTTGTGAT